ATTCTGTTGGCATATTATAAATGTGATCAACCCATTAGCTGTCTAAGGCAGTTGGCCCTGATTCAAAGTACTTAAGCACATACTTAAACTGAAGTGCATAGTTAAGTCCCATGACCCAAGAACCCCTCCCTGCCAACTGGCAAGGAGGTTATAGGAATGTGCTAATTCTGGTATGTACATTCTGGTTCACCAAAAACTGTTATGTGAGGTCTTTAATGAAATGCAGGGTGACACTGGTCATTAATACCAGTGTGAAATGTATGTACAGATACAATGTGAGGACAAACACACATACAGAAAATATGTTTTAAAGTCTGTATTGAGGCAGAGTTGACAAACAGGTTTTTCTGTCAGACAAGGGATATTTATTCACCTGTCTCGCTATTGAAATGTAAATTGAGTATTATCTCATTCACAATGGCTCTCCCATCACCCATCTAAGCTGAATGCAGATGAAAGACTAAGAATTTCAGAAAAGAACTAACAGGTAGAGAAACACTTAGGGGAAATGAACTTTTTCTTGAGCTACACTTCAAAGGTTTGCTGGACTATATTTGGAGAACAAAGATGACAACGAGGAAGTAAACAGGAAGTGCATTTACATTCATGACAATGGGATATCATTTTGCAATCTTTTGTTTCCATTATCATAGAATATCAGGGTTGGAAGGGACCTCAGGAGGTCATCTAGTCCAACCCCCTGCTCAAAAGCAGGACCAATCCCCAATTAAATCATCCCAGCCAGGGCTTTGTCAAGCCTGACCTTAAAAACTTCTAAGGAAGGAGATTCCACCACCTCCCTAGGCAACACATTCCAGTGTTTCACCACCCTCCTAGTGAAAAAGTTTTTCCTAATATCCAACCTAAACCTCCCCCACTGCAACTTGAGACCATTACTCCTTGTCCTGTCCTCTTCTACCACTGAGAATAGTCTAGAACCATCCTCTCTGGAACCACCTCTCAGGTAGTTGAAAGCGGCTATCAAATCCCCCCTCATTCTTCTCTTCTGCAGACTAAACAATCCCAGTTCCCTCAGCCTCTCCTCATAACTCATGTGTTCCAGACCCCTAATCATTTTTGTTGCCCTTCGCTGGACTCTCTCCAATTTATCCACATCCTTCTTGTGGTGTGGGGCCCAAAACTGGACACAGTACTCCAGATGAGGCCTCACCAATGTCGAATAGAGGGGGACGATCACGTCCCTCGATCTGCTCGCTATGCCCCTACTTATACATTCCAAAATGCCATTGGCCTTCTTGGCAACAAGGGCACACTGCTGACTCATATCCAGCTTCTCGTCCACTGTCACCCCTAGGTCCTTTTCCGCAGAACTGCTGCCTAGCCATTCGGTCCCTAGTCTGTAGCTGTGCATTGGGTTCTTCCCTCCTAAGTGCAGGACCCTGCACTTATCCTTATTGAACCTCATCAGATTTCTTTTGGCCCAATCCTCCAATTTGTCTAGGTCCCCCTGTATCCTATCCCTGCCCTCCAGCGTATCTACCACTCCTCCCAGTTTAGTATCATCTGCAAATTTGCTGAGAGTGCAATTCACACCATCCTCCAGATCATTAATGAAGATATTGAACAAAACCGGCCCCAGGACCGACCCCTGGGGCACTCCACTTGACACTGGCTGCCAACTAGACATGGAGCCATTGATCACTACCCGTTGAGCCCGACAATCTAGCCAACTTTCTACCCACCTTATAGTGCATTCATCCAGCCCATACTTCTTTAACTTGCTGACAAGAATACTGTGGGAGACCGTGTCAAAAGCTTTGCTAAAGTCAAGATACAATACATCCACTGCTTTCCCTTCATCCACAGAACCAGTAATCTCATCATAGAAGGCGATTAGATTAGTCAGGCACGACCTTCCCTTGGTGAATCCATGCTGACTGTTCCTGATCACTTTCCTCTCATGTAAGTGCTTCAGGATTGATTCTTTGAGGACCTGCTCCATGATTTTTCCGGGGACTGAAGTGAGGCTGACTGGCCTGTAGTTCCCAGGATCCTCCTCCTTCCCTTTTTTAAAGATTGGCACTACATTAGCCTTTTTCCAGTCATCCGGGACTTCCCCCGTACGCCACGAGTTTTCAAAGATAATGGCCAATGGCTCTGCAATCACAGCCGCCAGTTCCTTTAGCACTCTCGGATGCAACGCATCCGGCCCCATGGACTTGTGCACGTCCAGCTTTTCTAAATAGTCCCTAACCACCTCTTTCTCCACAGAGGGCTGGCCATCTATTCCCCATGTTGTGATGCCCAGCGCAGCAGTCTGGGAGCTGACCTTGTTAGTGAAGACAGAGGCAAAAAAAGCATTGAGTACATTAGCTTTTTCCACATCCTCTGTCACTAAGTTGCCTCCCTCATTCATTAAGGGGCCCACACTTTCCTTGGCTTTCTTCTTGTTGCCAACATACCTGAAGAAACCCTTCTTGTTACTCTTAACATCTCTCGCTAGCTGCAGCTCCAGGTGTGATTTGGCCCTCCTGATTTCATTCCTACATACCCGAGCAATATTTTTATACTCTTCCCTGGTCATATGTCCAACCTTCCACTTCTTGTAAGCTTCTTTTTTATGTTTAAGATCCGCTAGGACTTCACCGTTAAGCCAAGCTGGTCGCCTGCCATATTTACTATTCTTTCGACACATCGGGATGGTTTGTCTCTGTAACCTCAACAGGGATTCCTTGAAATACAGCCAGCTCTCCTGGACTCCTTTCCCCTTCATGTTAGTCCCCCAGGGGATCCTACCCATCCGTTCCCTGAGGGAGTCGAAGTCTGCTTTCCTGAAGTCCAGGGTCCGTATCCTGCTGCTTACCTTTCTTCCCTGTGTCAGGATCCTGAACTCAACCAACTCATGATCACTGCCTCCCAGATTCCCATCCACTTTTGCTTCCCCTACTAATTCTTCCCTGTTTGTGAGCAGCAGGTCAAGAAAAGCTCCCCCCCCAGTTGGCTCCTCTAGCACTTGCACCAGGAAATTGTCCCCTACGCTTTCCAAAAACTTCCTGGATTGTCTATGTACCGCTGTTTTGCTCTCCCAGCAGATATCAGGAAAATTAAAGCCACCCATGAGAACCAGGGCGTGCGATCTAGTAGCTTCTGCGAGCTGCCGGAAGAAAGCCTCATCCACCTCATCCCCCTGGTCTGGTGGTCTATAGCAGACTCCCACCACTACATCACTCTTGTTACTCACACTTCTAAACTTAATCCAGAGACACTCAGGTTTTTCTGCAGTTTCGTACCGGAGCTCTGAGCAGTCATACTGCTCCCTTACATACAGTGCTACTCCCCCACCTTTTCTGCCCTGCCTGTCCTTCCTGAACAGTTTATAACCATCTATGACAGTACTCCAGTCATGCGAGTTATCCCACCAAGTCTCTGTTATTCCAATCACGTCATAATTCCTTGACATCACCAGGACCTCCAGTTCTCCCTGCTTGTTTCCAAGGCTTTGTGCATTCATATATAAGCACTTGAGATAACCTGCTGATCGCCCCTCATTCTCTCACAGACATTCCTGCATCGTCTCTCACTATTACTTGAATCTTGCATCTTTGATAATAAACTTATCTTTGTTTCCTGAGTTAAATCATACAAGCTGTCGTGTACACTGGTCCCTTGGGGACAGCAGACCTGGCATTTCTATGTGTGTACGAGGTTGGACACTACAGGGGAATGCTCCACAGAGACCCTGGGACCGGGATGCACCAACTGTTAACGTGCAAAGTAAAGGAAGGGCTAGCATAGCTCAGAGTGGAGTGCTTGGGTGGCTAATAGGCTGCTGGTGGCAGGGAGCTGACCCCCAACTTAGGGATAAGCAAGTCTCCCTCACACTGGAGGTGAGGGGGAGGTAACAAAGTGACTCTCAGTCCTGCATACTCCAAGAACCATCACACTATATTACCGTTAATTTTTAGTTCTGTGATCAGTGCCTCTTCATCTGTCAAGATAAGGTCTACTATAGAATTCCCCAGTGTTGGCTGTAATGTTTTTTGAGTTAGGAAATGGTCATCTGTACTATTTAGTAAATGGAGTATTGTCTCATTCACAATGGGTCTCCCATCACCCATCCAAAATCAGAGACAGCAGGGTCCAGTCACCCTGTGACAAATCAGGTTTGGTTTCCTGTATTTTATTTCTTGCCCTGAAGACAACCTGTACCACTGGTTTCCCACTGTCAGAAAGGGAGGCTACTTACATCTAAACAAATGAGCACCAAGCTCCTAGAGTCCTTGCTAAGCTAGACTGAGTGCTTTGGTCACTTTGTAAGGAGATAGGTCCAGCTTGTGTCATGATAGAAGCGGTCAGAACCTAGAGTTCCTAAGGCATCTGGTGGGGCTTGGCCCACAGGGTATTACTTAATAGTTCTCTTGTACATACATGCAATAGAGATGACCTTATTCTTACTTATCACTGAATTTTAAAAATCTGCAAGCACACCAGCCTGGTGGTGTTAAACAAAATACAGTCCCACCTTCTGCTGTCCATTACAGGTGCACTGCTCCATTAGTCACAGTAGCAGAGTAGAATTTGCATTCAGGCTACCTGAACATCCCACACAATATTTACCGCTACAGCAATAAACTAGGAGCCAGACTCAAAGCCCACTGAAGTCAAGAAGAGTCTTTTCAAGGACCCATAAAGGCTTTGCATCCTCAGGAAGGGCCTGATTCCAAGACATGATGAGAACTTGCAACGGCTGTTGAAGTCACTGGAAGTTGTAGGTGCGCAACACCTTCTGAGATCAGGACCTAGCAAGTTACTTTCGTATTAAAAAAGAAACAAACAATGAGCACAAGTGCTTAGATGCAACTAGTGTCCCAGCGCTCTGTACAGTCCTTCTCAAGTGCCACATGACTGGTACAGGCAATAAAGTGCTACAGCTCTGGTGCCTGCGCCGTCGGGAAAAACAGCAACAGAAAATATTAGGCAAAAGGGAGGCCAAAAATCAACAGGGAGAGGACGTTCATTGTTAGAATGACGAGAAGGGAAAGAGTTCAAAACCATTTATATTTGCTTGTTAAGCGCAAACAATGGGTCTCGTCTTGTACCAAACACAGATATGGTCCCTGCCCAGAATGCTTACAGTCTAACCTTACGCCCCATTGCAGACAGTTGGACTCCATATAGATGTAGGAATGTGCCCACACAGTTCCCTTGGCAACTTCAGGGCTTAAATTATACAACCAAGACCGATTAAATTAGCACAATGTGCCTGACAAGATCCCACTAATGGGATACAGCTATTGCACACTGCTTTATAAATCAGAAGATTTAGCAACTTTCAGGTCAGTTACAATACTGATAGCATGATTAAGGCAGAGCTAGTACTTTTATACTTAACCCCTATTTGCAATCACTCAGACTTTCTAGAACAAATAGAAACTTTCATAGGACAAAACCTCTCATATCTGATTTTAGCGCAGAGGTTGTTTTTAGAGGGTTTGAAGAAAAGCATTTGTAGATCTCAGAGGCTTAGACATCAAGTTAAGTTTAAAAAAACAAAAAACAATCCTGGAGTGTGTTATGCAGGTTTGAAGTTGACACCCGAAGGTATTCACAGCTCTCGAGGCAGATAGGAACTCATGTGCACTCTATTTTCAAATATTCATATGTTAGCTGTCAGCTCTGTGTTCTTGAGGAACCAGGGTGCAGAATCAAGCCTGTATGACTCACGAAAGAACACCTGCCCCCCCTTCAGCCTCTGCTTGACTCAAAACCTATCAGAAGAACAACTTACAAAAAGCAATGAAAAGGCAGTGGGCGACACACCTAAATCCCTCCGGACAAAGGTGACAGGATTAAGGCAACTCCCCTAACCTCATTTGCATGGAAGATGGGACAAGGAGGCATCTCCATTAGCATACAGAATGGAAAACAGAGATTCCAAGGCAAGAACCGCATTGAACTCTTGGACCAGAAAAGCAGGGAAGCACTACATGATGGGGAATCTCTGCTGTAGATGTTAATGAACCCATGCGTGCACACACCCAGCTCAGTAGTTATCAGACCAATTCTAGTAATAAATCCTTCATTGGTATCCAAAATACTGAAACTGATTAATTGCATTGTGAGCTCTCTTGAAGGAACACTGCCCATAGCCAGTAATGATCAGTTCCTATTGTCTAGCCTGAACAAAACAACTTTGGTATACTTCCTTGAGCCATTGGTTTACCCATAGACAAATCTTGTGTTCTCCCTTGAACCATTGTTGTTTCCCTACAAAAACCCCTACCTACGCTCAAGTAAGTGTCCTGATGCCTGGATCCAAAATCTGCATCAGTTCCATTGGGACCTCATCTTCTCCTGACTGATCATGCTGGGGTCTCAGCTACCACCATCACCTGGGAACCCTGACCAGGTCAAGCTTCACGGAGAGGTGAGATCCCAACTCTCTCTCTAGCTGTTTTTTTTTTTTTCTACTCTAGGTATAGTTTTCTAACCCTGACCTGTGTGATCAGGTATAGTTTTCTAAACCTGACTTTTGTAATCAAATTTAAGCTAGATTTAATATTGTAACTGTTTTGTTTGTTTGGCTCTCCATGTTGGTTATTACCTGGCAATAAATAACTTTTATGGTTAAGGTGGTTGCTTCCCTCCCTCTCTCTCTCTGTTTTGTGGTTTTGGCTTCCCTATTCGCTCTGCAGCAACGCTCCTCTTACCTAAGCTAAAGATCCCTGTAGCGCCCAAAAATCCTGTAGGGTTTGCTCATCAAGTGGGTTCTACCAGAACAATTGTAATGTCAAAGTGAGAACAGGGACATGCTGAACCTGTGGCATAGGAGGGTGGCAGCTTGAAAGTGCTGCTCGACCCAGCCTGCTGGGTCCAGGGGCATATCGGGGGTCAATTTGGGAGTGCTGACTGACCCGGTCCGCTCATATGTGCTCTGTTCATCTGTGTGTGTTTGTTCTTCTGATTCTGGGGCTGGAGGAACCCAGCTCTGGGGAACCTAGGTCCGGCAGGATAGCTCCATTGGGAGGAAACTTGCAGAAGGGAGAAGTAGAGCTCCATATGAAAACACAAGTGACACATACAGTACATTGATAGAATTACAGAAATCCCCTCCCCCCCAGAAAAGTAACCCTAAAATGAGTGTACCCCAAAGCAACAGGCAAATCTGGTAACACAACTCTGCTGGAAAAAAAAATGTTTATAGCACAGAGTCATTACTGCTCATTGGGGATTACTGATGTGTCAAGTGTGATGTTGCCCTTTCGGAGAAAGAAAACATGAGAGAGTGTTTATTTTAAAGCAATGGGAAAGAAGTTTTTCCATGCTCACAACTGCAAAATACCAGAACAGATTTTGCTCAAACTTTCAAAATTAAAAATATATAGACCCATACTTTTACGCAGTGACCACACATGAAAATATCAGCTCTAAAGGTGAGTGTTCAGAACCACTTAAGCAACAAAAAACAGGAGGTGAGAATGGAAACTGTCTTGCAGCTGTAACTATCATGAGCACAACCAGAGACCACTTTAATATACCATTACCAAAATCACTAGCCAACCAGGCGGCTAGGTTGCAATACTGTCAGATCCATAAACCAAGCGAGATAGGATCTGGTCACCAATTTAGTGCATCATACTATAGTTGTTATTCTTTTTCCTATGGAACTTAATTCTGTAGTTCTTACCATTTAAAAATGTCCTTTTTGGAGGCAAATATTTGTAAAAGTGATCAGTAGTCTTTACTTAAAACTAAAGATATACAAACAAGGTTATTATAATGTATCAAATCTGACAGCAGTTACAAAATTTTGTATATTCTAAAAGACATTTTTAATTTGTTGAACCGCTTCCTTTAACAGTGATTTTTTCCAGATTTTCTTTTTAGGGTTAGATATTTTCAGATTTGTGCAACAGCCAAAAAAGGGTTGGCATTTCACATGCTGTAAATCATTAAACGAAAGCAAAAGTCTTCTAGACCTTAGACAAAGTTTCCTTGCAAATTCTTGCAAAGTATAAAATGAAAAACAAACACCATGGCAAGGCTTTCATTATACTATAAGGTAGGGGGCAATTCTGAATCCCTGGAGCAACCAAAGCTCAAAAGTCAGTGGGACTTTTGGCTGCACCCAGGGCACAGTATCACTTTCACTTTTCATATATTTCATTTACAATTATTTAGCTGTAGTTTAGACACAGGTCAGCTCCTCCTCTGGTCAGCTCCTCCTCTGGTGTGAATCGTTCCAGCAAAGACAGAGGAGTTATGCGGATTTACACCAGCTGAGGATCTGATCCAGAGGGCCCAATCACTATGGTCCTGAACTTTGTGCATTCATTTATACCAGTGCAAGGCATTACTGTTCTGACCTGCTAACGCTTACCAGCCACTTTGCACTGGTCCAAGTGAACATGCAGCACAGCTGTGAATTAGGCCAAGAAGACCTGATTTTCAAAGAGCTCCCAGCACAGCCTCCCTCTTTGTGCCCCAAAGTAACAGTGAGCATAATGAATCTGGCCTCTAAATGCCTGCCTTGTGGGTGCAGTCAGCGAGTTAGAAAGCTACACACTGCCAATGATTACACCTACAAATTGCATATGCATAAAGGAAGGCTGCATTTTAAATACTGTGTCCTAAGCAATCAGGCCCTGATGCTTAAATACCACAGTGATGGGCATGATACAAAAACTACACAAAGTACATACAGCATTTGAAACTGTTTAAAAAACTGCTTATGGCACCGACTACACTGGAGCGCATAGGACATGCTAAAGTGAAACAGAGCAATAGTCCCTCACAGACAGCAGCTGGCAAAGGAACCAGAGTTAGTCAAGTCAGCTTTCATTGCCGGAGTTTATACTGAACCCGGCATGCTCCCATGGGCTGCTGTGTCCCCACTAAATGGAGAAGGCTCTGCAAAAAGATAGAAAAGCAGTAGAAAGACATGGTAAATATGCATCTGGGTTAGTTTAGTGAACGCAGCCCTTGTCTCGGTTTGCTTTGACATTAATGTTATAGGCATTGTTTCTTAGAGATTTGCTTTGCCTTGTTACACAGACTTGAGAACCAATATTAAGGCCAACTCTTACTCCCACTGAAGCCAATCGGAGTTGTCATTGTCTTCAGCAGGACCAGATTTTGTCTCCCATGTTTCATTTTAGGTCAGTATTGGCTCTAATACAGTATGAAGCATGAACTCTAAGGGGACTCAATTTACTTTCAGTGGCATGATTGCCTGTGGTGGCAGACAGAAGGTGCAATTCACTCCAGTGGGAGTGCAGACACCAGTGCTGCCCCAGTCCTGAAGAGGGAGCTGCTGGCTGAGATATTGTGGCCATGCCCCTTTCCCTGGCTGCCCTACTCATTTTGAGGGCTGTGCTGACCAGCTCCGCTGCAATCCCCCATCCTAAATGGACTTTCCACCACTGGGGAGTAACAGCCCAGATTCTTCCACCAGAACCAAGGAGTGCCGTTCCTCTGATATGCCAGCCTAATGGGCAACTCCTATAAATCCTGGGTCATTGCAAGCTTCCATCTCTTCTCCTGATGTTAGATACCTCACTTATGGCGGCTTAGATATAAAGGCAAGTGGCACATTTGGGTCCTAGCAGGCTTATCTGTTGTGTTATGCAGAGCACCATGTTTGCGAAGGGGAATGCTAGCCAGCAAGCCCAGTGGGGAGGAATGCAGACATGGACAAGGAGCTGCTGCAGTCAGTGCTGCTCTTAGCCAGTCACTCAGTAACAAGGGGTATTTCAGGCTTAATAATTAGTGCCATTGGATGCTCAAGGGGGCTGAGCACAGGGATGCACAGGCTGCTCCCAACGTGCTGCATTCTGGGCCCTGTTTGAGAGTGCAGAGACACAGGGCCTGTGTGGAGAGGGAGTAGCCTCTGGTGGAACCAGGACTCTGTGCATTGAGCTTCTTTCCCATTCTGCAGGGGAGGGCAATCCCTTCACCTCTTAATGGAATGAGAAGGAATGTGAATTCTTTGGTATTGATGTATCGACTTGCACCTGGTCCTTATCCCTCTGCCACATGAGTGCAAAGGCAATGGAGAAACAGGCCCTTGGAGTTTCCAGTCGCCTACCTGGGAATAACCTTTGAGCACGTAATGTGGCAAGGGTCCAGCCCATCAGACATGGATAAAATTATGTATGAGATGACAGACAGAAGTCATTTCTATATCCTCTACCTTGTGCTAAGTACCGGTAGAGAGGCAAACAGCACAAAGTCATTTAATAAGAAGCTAGGATGAGGTTTAGCCATCTATGGGCCAAAATGTGCTCTCAGCTGCACTGCTGTAAATCCAGAGGAGCTCCATTGGCTTCAATGGCTGGATTTACATAGCTAGAAGTGAGGGCAGCATTTGCCCCTTACATATTTTTATCAATATTTTCACCATTTCAATTGAGAGTAAAGAAACAGGGTTAAAAGATTTGGATTAAACATACAAATATTTTACCTCCTTTGGTACTGGGTCCAAAAGAATAAATTCATATTTGTAAAGGAACAAAACGACTAGCATGTGAACCTCCATTATAGCAAGCCACCTAAAAAAGGCAAAGGAGAAAACAGTCGTTTATCTGGCATGACCACCTCATATTAGCAGAAAAAACACACGATCCCTTTTGCACACTTTAGAGTCCATCGCCTGTCTCTGCACACAAGTTTACCTCCAGCAGAAAATGATGCTGAGGATCTTGCTCTGCTCCTTTAGCAGGTAAAGGGTATGGCTGTTGTAGCTTCCCCTCCCTGTCTGTGAAACTCTAAAACTACTGCACTGTGGTCCTCAACTCCTCTGCTACAAGAGTTTGTTTTAAAATAGGGTCTGTATGCTCATCTGTTGGGCCCTACCAAATTCACAGTCCATTTTGGTCAATTTCACGTCATAGGGTTTTTAAATGAGCATTTAATGTTTTCAGATGTTTACATCTAAAATTTCATGATGTTGTAACCGTGGGGGGTCCCGATCCAAAAGGGGATCATGGGGGTGGGGGAAAATCACAAAGCTGTTGTAGTGGGGTTGTGGGATTGCCACTTTCACTTCTGCACTGCCTTCAGAGCTGGACACCCAGCCAGCAGCCGTGGAGCTTCCTACAGCCAAGGGAAGTACCTGGAGTGGGGTCTGATCCCTCCCTGAGAGCAGCCGGGCAGGAGAAGAGGAAGTTCCATCCCTCTACAGCTCAGCTGGGACTAGCAGCTGGAGCTCAGTGCAGTAGGAGCCCCCAGCCTGCCCCAGCCCCTCCCTCTCGCTTTCCCCTCCAATAGCTAGATTTCATGGGGGGAGGTCTGATTTCATGGTCCGTGATGCGTTTTTCATGGCTGTGAATTTGGTAGGGCCCTACTCATTTGGCAGCGTATGCCTTTATTCTCCTCACATTGTTGTGAGCCAGGAGGAACCTCACTGTAGCGTGAGGGGAATGAGACCTAGAAAAATACTACATGGGTACAACCTTCTATGTCACAGTACAATACAGCTGGGAGCGGGACAACAGAGTAACCATGAGATCACAGCTTATTAGTTAGCATGTCAACATCAAAACCTGGTGAGAGGCCTGAACAGTTAGATCCTTTCCCATGTGCCCTAACAATCGCTGAGCTCTCCATTGTCAGTCTGTAGAGGACTTCAGACAGCCTCAGTCTTGGCTGTTGGGTTTTCCCCTCCATGGATCTGCACAAGAATTTTCTCTACCCACTCAGGCCCAGTTCACATTTAAGTCAAGTCAATGGGACAATTCACATGCTTTATGTTAGGCACGTGCATAAGTACCTTGCTGAATCAAGGTCTCAAGTAATAATACTTTACTCTTATAGCATGATTATCAGTAAATCTCAAAGCATTTTACAGAGGAGGTCAGTATCATTATCCCCATTTTACAGATGGGGAAACTGAGGCACAGAGCGGTGAAGTGACTTGCCTAACATCACCCAGCAGGCCAGTGTCAGAGACAGGAATAGTATCCAAATCTCCTGAGTCCCAGTCCAGTGCCTTCTCCAGTAAGTCACACTGCTGTGAAGAGAAACCAAAGTAGTTCTGTAACTGAGTGGGTCAGATCCTGCAAAGTGTTGTGCACCCCCTCAGCTCCCACTGACTTCTCCAAGATTGTGCTCAGCACCTCACAGGATAAGGCCCCAGAGTGATTTTCCTCTGAGAATTCTGCAGAGTTCACTCCTTCCTGTTTTTACATAGTGACAATATGTGCTTAGTAAAGACTATCAGATGTTCTGTGTTCTATGTGTTACCCTAGATTTAAGGGCTGCGTGTACCTCAGAATGTGATTAAGCCAACTGCAACCATATTATGTGCATTAAGCCACCATGAACTAATAAAATAGAACACGGCATAGTTAAGGGTTAATTTGAATAAAGTAGGGCTTCTGAAGGCAAGGTCAAAACTAGCTGCAAGCTTGCAGACTCTGCTAATCAAAATGGGAGGAGGGGAGAGACAGAATCAACAATTTGAGATTGACAGGGAATAAGTGGACAAGAACCTTGGAGTTTGGGTGCCTTTGACATAGAAGCTTATTATGACTAGACTGTAAGGAATGTTTGTTGATAAGTAGTTTACTGATATTAGGAGAAGTGATGACTTAGCAGGGGTCACTACGATCTGTGTGTTTTGTAAAAGTTAGTTATAAAAAGGACTAGATAATAGAGTGTATTTTGGAGCAGTCCTCTGAAGCCATCCTGAGTGACATTCTTCCTGACACCTTACTCCCCAGTGGGGAAAATGATTGGCCATCGCAGAACTGCTGTAACTACTCAATACTGTCCCCTATTTTAGGTAAATTTTTGGGATGTTCTAAACCTATTGCTTGTGTCTGTGTGTGCTTAAATATAATAAACTGTAGTTTTAGATAAGAGCATGCTTACTTGTGTTAAATCTATCAGCTGGAGTGCTGTGTTCCCATTGATTTATTCCTGACACTTCCTGGAGTGAAACAAGTTACCAATGCTGTGGGTTCTGAAAACCCTGGGTAACACTTGGGCTATTATTAACTATTTGTAACCTGGTAGTGCCTCAGAGCCCCAGTCATGGGCCAGGACCCCATTGTGCTAGGTGCTGTACAAACCCAGAACAAAACAGTGGTCCCTTCCCCAAAGGGCTTGCAATTTAAGTAGAAGACAAGACACAACAGATAGATATGGGGAGTATGAGGAAACAATGAGAAATGCTGACCAGTACTGGTAGGCAGCTGGTGTGCTGAGACACACCAACTCAGTTGTTGTGTTTCTTTTTACAGACACCACAGCAAAGGAGTCAGGAGAACAATGAGGTGGCTTTGTGGATGTTATGAAGAGCTCCTCTCACACGTGAACAGCCTGGGAGAAAAAGCACAATGATGCTCATTTGATAGTTTAACAAGTTGTCTATTTTCATTTATGTTGATACTGGAATTTCATCTGAGGTTGGACTTTTATAATGTGGGAAGACAGAAAAATTATAACACATCATTAAACTATAAAATGCCAGTGTCAAACTAAATGAAGATTCACTTTAGCTTGAGTTATTTTCCTGCCTCTACCACCTACTGACTGTGACATGGGACAGCCTTTCAGGACTCTTTTGCTCACCTGCAAAATGGGGATAGTGTTACACACTTTGGAAAGTGCTTTCAGATATGTGGATAAAAATGATATGTAAATATTACCTGTTATATCACAGCAAGCACAGCCATTATTACATTGTGACCAAATGCACCCTGTATTCACACCCTATTGTAATAATCTTCGTACAAAATATGCCTCATCAGGTATCATCTGAAAACTAACAACTCACTGGTCAATAATATCGTGGTGAAATGTATGTAAAGTAGTACCTCAGAGTTACAAACTGACCAGTCAACGACACACCTCATTTGGAACTGGAAGTATGCAATCAGGCAGCAGAAGACACACACGCAAATACAATACAGTACTAAATGTAAATTACGAAAAAATAACAGGAAATCAGCATTTTTCTTCTGCATAGTAAAGTTTCAAAGCTATATTATGTCAATTTTCAGTTGTAAACTTTTGAAAGAACCATTTAATGTTTTGTTCAGAGTTGTGAACATTTCAGAGTTATGAACAACCTCCATTCCCGAGGTTCTACTGTAGTAACATTATATGTAAGGTTTCAGAGTAGCAGCCGTGTTAGTCTGTATCAGCAAAAAAAATGAGGAGTACTTGTGGCACCTTAGAGACTAACAAATATTTGGACATAAGCTTTTGTGGGCTAAAACCCACTTCACTGGATTCATGCAGTGGAAAATACAGTAGGAAGCTATACACACACACAGAGAACATGAAAAAATGGGTGTCATCATGAATAGGTTGGAATATGAACAAGAGGCTGCTAGGCAGCTCTCCAAAACCACTTTCTACAGGCCATTACCCTCTGATCCCACTGAGGGTTACCAAAAGAAACTACACCATTTTCTCAAGAAACTCCCTGAAAAAGCACAGGAACAAATCTGCACAGACACACCCCTAGAACGCCAACCAGGGGTATTTTATCTGCTACCCAAGATCCATAAACCTGGAAACCCTAGACGCCCCATCATCTCAGGCATTGGCACCCTGACAGCAGGACTGTCTGGCTAGGTAGACTCTCTCCTCAGGCCCTACGCTACCAGCACTCCCAGCTATCTTCGAGACACCACTGACTTCCTGAGGAAACTACAATCCATCGGTGATCTTCCAGAAACCACCACCCTGGCCACTATGGATGTAGAAGCCCTCTACACCAACATTCCACACAAAGATGGACTACAAGCCGTCAGGAACAGTATCCCCGATAATGTCACGGCAAACCTGGTGGCTGAACTTTGTGACTTTGTCCTCACCCACAACTATTTCACATTTGGGGACAATGTATACCTTCAAGTCAGCAGCACTGCTATGGGTACCCACATGGCCCCACAGTATGCCAACATTTTTATGGTTGACTTAGAACCACTGGGAACTTTAAAAAGGTTGTGTTGGTGGCCAGGAATGGCAGCTGATTTAAAATCACATCTGGAACGTTGTTTGGACTGTGCCAGGCACAGCCCACCTCACAAGGTGCTAAGGGGAGAATTAATGAGACAAGCCCCAAGGGGACCATGGGAAAGGATACAGATTGATTACACAGGACCCCTACCACCAGATCACAGGAAAAACCGATTCATGTTGGTGGTAGTGGATGCTTTCAGCCGGTGGGTGGAAGCTTTCCCCACAAAGTATCAAACAGCCCGGGTAACTGCTGCAATACTGGTAAATGAGGTATTCACTCGCTGGGGGGTCCCAAAGGTGATTGACTCAGACCAAGGAGCTGCTTTTCGATCAGATCTGTTAGGGGAGCTATCAGCCCTCACTGGAATCACACAGTTGTTCCATATTGCTTATCACCCCCAGGCTGCGGGGCAGGTGGAACGCATGAACCGCACCATTAAAAGTGAGCTAAGAAAGGGAGTGGAAGTCGGAGGAAAAAACTGGTCACAGTTACTGCCCTTTGTCTTAATGAGAATAAGGGCCCGAGAATCAAAGGGCACAGGATTTTCTCCATATGAAGCTCTCATGGGAAGGC